CCATTCCATTCTCTATTAACCAACTTCAGTGGGAAATGTTATGACATCAATGGGATTTGTTCCTTGGTGGCCCCTCCCCCTCTCATTATCTTTCCCATCATACTTTGAAGGCCTTGCGTGATTTTCTCCTTTTCCTGCTTCACCAGCAGCAATTGGGGCTCCTCTCTCTCTAGCTCCCACTGCCCAGCCACGATGCACTTCTCTGTCTTTCCAATAAGTATGGCTCCTTTCCATCCCAGGGCCTTTACACTTGCTGTTGTTTGGTGTCTCCAACTGTTCTTGTAGCTAATTCTCCTTTCTTCTGATTCCAGTTTGAAAGTCACTTCCTTGGGGCTAGTAAGATCCCCCTATCATATGCTTTCTTAATGCCCTAAACTGTTCATAGTATTTATCACAATTGTAATGATCTGTATTTGTTTAAAATCTGACAATACTGCTGGAACACAAGACCCATCAGGACAGAAACTGTGCCTATTGCGTTTACTACTGTATGCTCAGAGCCCAGCTTACTGCCGAGGACAGAGTAGGTGCTCACAAATATTTGTTGCATGAATGAACTAATGGATATTGTTTTCCCTTCCCTTTTCCACCCTGGCACCTCATTATGTCTTGTCATTTCCTATCCAGAAAGCTCAATCTGAGATCTAATTAAATGTAAAAGACGGGGCTTCCCTGGTGGCGCAGTGGTTGGGAGTCCGCCTGCCGATGCAGGGGACACGGGTTCGTGCCCCGGTCCGGGAAGATCCCACATGCCACGGAGCGGCTGGGCCCGTCACGGGCCATGGCCGCTGAGCCTGCGTGTCCGGAGCCTCTGCTCCGCAACCGGAGAGGCCACAACAATGAGAGGCCTGCGCACCGCAAAAAACAAACAAACAAACAAACAAACAAATGTAAAAGCACAGACCAAGGGGAGGCAAGAATGTGCTCTTTGACAGACAAAGGCTTGCTCTGTCCTCATGAGTGCACCTCCCTTTTCTCTCCTTGCCCCAACCACAGGAAGACCCCCTTATTTTGTTTATTTGGGGGATACGTGTGACCACACGCGAGCAGCAGAGGTGAGGACCTGGTGAGTACGCTTAGCCACTTCTCCTTTTGCCAGCATCACCTGTGAACTAAATAATAGCTTGATAAGCTCAGCCCCACACCAATCATTTTGGGGTGAAAGGAGGAAGCTGATGGGCAATGGCACCCCCTTCAGGCCGCTCCCTTCTTCTCTCTACCCCTGCTCCCTCTTGGTTCAGCCAGCCCTCACCCCCTCAGGTCTCGGTGACTGCAAGGCTTGTCTGCTGATTTTCCAGTCTCTGATTTTGCCAGCGTCAGGCACATCACCACTGGGTTCCCATCAGCATCCTTGCTTAAGAACCTGCAATGACACTCTACTGCCTTTGCAGGCAAGTCCAAAGCCCTCGTTGCTTCAACACTAGACACTCTAATCTCTCACTGCATTGCAGGTCGTCGTATCCAGCGCACATCTTGTATGTTCCAAGCTCTGTGTTTTTCCTAATCCCATCCCACCCACCACACCTCCTAAATCTGGTCCTACTCATCCTTAAGGCTCAGGCTGACTCCCATGAAACTTTTCCATGAAAGCTTTCCTGACATCTCCAGCCCACAGCCAGCTCCGCATGGCCTCATCTCTGGTGACAACATGAGTTAATAGCATCCTATTTAGCTATTAGTTGATCTCTGATTGTTCTCTGTGTTTTAGTTTATGTGTAATAAATATTTGGTTGAATTGTTGATTGGGGAAAACATAGCGATACGGCCATTACAAGAATCTGAACCAAGCCAAAATGCAAGCACAGGGGTGTATGTGCACATGCATGTGTATGCACGAGTGTGCATGTGTTATCAAGCCAAAAGCTCTCTTCCACCTCCTTGGGGAACATTTTCTAGTCACCTGTATCAATACCGGAGCAGTAGATGCTCCCCACTCCGGCCTCTGGTGTCTGGCGTATGACCCAGTCAGTACCTGCAAAAACATCCACCTTCTGAATTCAGCATAAAGAGGCAACACTTTCTCCCATGCCACCCAACATCTGCTGACCCTACTTCTGTGTCCACAGCTGAGAATTCATTCCCGGCACTGTGGCTCACCAGGACCAGCAGTATGCCGGTGGATGGGAGGGAAGGGGGAGGAGGGAAGATGATGCTGGTGGGTTGAAGCTCACAGACAGTTCCTTGCCCAATTCAAACTTGTAACAGAATACAAAGTACTCTGCATCACAAAGTAACACATTCTGTGTTACGGAGTACTGAACTGACTTATTCCTTGCTCTTGGACAGCAGAAGTTCTATGAGTATTGAGTCTGAGCCTGGCTTCTATCCTCAACCCCTAGTACATAGTCAGTGCTTGATAAATATTTAAGGAATGAGTGTACATACACATGTGTTGGGGGCGACTTCAGAGAGGTGGAATTCAACTCCCTATGGAGATAAACTCTCTAACCATTTGTTGACGTCCATGAGCCTTACTTGACCTTTTCAGGCTGTGATAAACTCCCCAGTTCCTGCGCCTAAACAGGAAGAGAACAGCTGCTCGTCAGGTCAGGGATGCTATACCCAGAGAATCTAAGCAATAAACAAGATGTTGGACCCATAACAATAATATGTTATTATTCTTGTTATCAATACTAATAAGTTAGCATTTATTGAGTACTTACTATGTATACCAGCCATGAGCAAATCATTTCTTATCTATTGGACTCTAAGAGTCCCTTCCACTTCTGGTGGAACCTATCTGGTTCATCACTAAACATTGGCTGAGTGCCTACCCTGTGCTGGACACAGGTGGAAGATTAGGGAAAGGGAGACTAGAGGGCAGGAATAGAGGCAAAAATCGCCACCTTAAGCACTCTCAATTCAAAAAGGGAGACAGCAGTGGAAACACAAACTAGAATTCAAGGCAGAAAAAGATTAAGAACTAAGGAGAGTTGTAGACAGAGAGTTTTGAGAACAGCACGGAGGAAGGCGTGATTATTTCTAACGGGGCGAAGAAATCATGGAAGGCTTCATGGATGAGATGGTATTTGATGTGAACTTTTAAAATCTATAGCATTTCCATAGGCAGAGAATGAGGAAAGGGCATTCTACACTGATAGATCAGCCTAAGCAAAGGTCAGGAGCTTTGGAAATAAGTGGCATGTTGGCAATCAGTGTCTCCTGTGATATGGCTGGACTATCAGCTGGGTGGATGGAGGGACTCAGGGGAGGGAGGATACTTTTGTACCAGATCCTGTAACGCCTTCAATGATGGGATGAAGTGTTTGGATTTTATTCTGTAGTGAATGGATATTTTTGAGGTGGAGGCAATTTTCTTATTGTGATGATTCTAGCAAAAATGAAAGTTGGAGAGAGAATAACAGTAGCTCACATTTACTGACTACCTACCAAGTGCCAGTCATTGTTCTAGGCAATTTGCCTTCTGTCTCACTCCACCCCACTAGTGTGTGAAATAAATTCAGTGATTATCCCATTGGACAGGTTGAGAAAACTGAGGCACAAAGAGGTTAAGCCACTTGTCCAAGACCACACACCCAGTTAAAAGACAGCCCAGGAGTCCAACCTAGAAGTCTTCTCCAAAGCCTCGCTTAACTATCCCAGGGGACTACCTCACCCAGGAACCAATTAGAGTCTAGTCAAGTCTATTACAAGAGTACCCAAGAGAAGAGAAGAGGGCCCTGAATTAAGATTGTAGAGATGAAAATATAAAAGAGGCAGCATTTACTTACTGTCTTTTGTGTAAGAAAGGGGGCCAGGGAATATATGTACTATTTTGTTTGTTTCTGCATGAAATACTGGAGAGATACACAAGAAAGTAATAAAAGTGGCCACCTGTAGAGGGCAGGGTAGGGGGAAGGGGTGGGTGGGGAGTGGATGGAGTGAGACACCTCTAGGTATGGCTTTCAATAGAGTTCTGATTTCTGACCCACATGAATGTGTTGTTTATTCAAAACAACACAAACGATAACAAATGGAAAGGCAGGGGCTTCCCTGGTGGCACAGTGGTTGAGAATCTGCCTGCCAATGCAGGGGACACGGGTTCGAGTCCTGGTCTGGGAAGATCCCACATGCCACGGAGCAACTAGGCCCGTGAGCCACAACTACTGAGCCTGCGCGTCCAGAGCCTGTGCTCCACAACAAGAGAGGCCGCGACAGTGAGAGGCCCGTGCACCGCAATGAAGAGTGGGCCCCGCTTGCCACAACTAGAGAAAGCCCCCGCACAGAAACGAAGACCCAACACAGCCATAAACAAACAAACAAATAAATAAATAAATAATTTTTTTAAAAAAATGGAAAGGCACAATTTAAAAGCTAAGAGCTTCCAGAAGGAGGCGAATGGTCTACTGGGGTCCAATGGGTTAGACCTGAAAAGAGGATGGTAGATTTGGGGATCAGAATGCTTTGCTTCTAGAAACAGGTGAGAGGGGTGAAACCATGCAGCATCGGGCCCCCCGAGGGATATCCAAGTGCTTCTTCCATTTTATAAGACACTGAAGGTTCTGTAGTCTCTGCTTTCAGCCAGTATAGATATCCTATTGCCCAGGAAGGTATTTTAAACAACATACACCAGCAACTGAGTGGTTAAGAGGGAAACGGAGGCAAGCAGTCTCTGATTTTCTATTATCACCCCATTCAGGCCAATGGAAACCTTTAATTTGATGTTTTGTTTTTGCCTTTTATGTTTTCCCTCTCTCCATCACACACCTCCATACAAATACAATCACACACACACACATACACACACCACACACACACACACACACACACACACACACACACACACACAGCATAAAAGGGCACCTTTGCAAAAGGATTTTTCTGGATCTGCTCAGAGGGAAGGGAAGGCAGAGGAAAGGAAGGAGAGATGCAAGCCGCCCTAGCTACTTTTCCTCCCCTTTAAGGCTGCCTGGTTACAGTCCTAGGAAAGAAAACCCCTGCATTCCTCCCCTTTAATTCGGTTTATTGTTGAAGCGCTGGAGCAGCTAATCCTCACAGACCTGTAGGAGCTGGAGTGGGAGGGCCACGGGCACCTTTCTCTCGGATTCCCTGGGTAAGACGAACCTGCTTCTTTATTTGGTTTGAGGAGGTTTCTTTGTTTAGAGGGAGGCTCGTGGCACCAAGAGAGTGGGTTTGAAGAGCCACTCTTGCAAGCAACTTGGGTGTTTATTTCAGCCCCAGTTCCTGTCTTGCCTGACTCTCAAGGTATCAAGGGGAAGTTGTAGCTGCCTTGGAAGATAAGTCTGAATGGGTGTCCGGGTAGGACCTCTGCGGGGATTATCTGGCCATCACTTCAGGGTTGGCTTGAGTGGGAACCTTTCACACTCCTGGGCAAAGAAAAGGGAGCAAAATATCTGTATGTGCCCCTCCTGCCATGCCTGCTTGCATTTAGGGACAGCCCTCTGGGCTCTGTGCCTGGGAGGGGCTGTCCATCTGCAGGGTGTCAGGACTTCCAGCGCCCTTGCACCCCTCCCTCCTGCTCAGCCTTCATTTCTTAACCTATCAGACCCCATCTGTCAAATGGGGCAATGCCCTGTTTTGGTTCTCCCTACCTGTCTAGGTTGTTGTGAAGATTAGGAGAGTCAGTGGGCAAAAAGGAGGTTTGTAAGCAGTCAGTGGCTCTGCAGACCCAAGGCAGGCAGACCAGCCTCAGTGCCTCCTGGCAGGGTCCGTGGCCCAGAGCCCGCTTCTGTCCCCCGCTGCGTTAGGATGCAGAATTCAGCAGGGACACCGCTGTCAGTCACCTTCCCCAGGGGCAAGTCTCTCTCCCTTCTGTCTTTAAACTTCCCTAGTTCAGTTCTCAGGTAAAAATGGTAAAAGGAGGTCTGGACTCATCACCACCCCCACCCGCACTGTGGCCCCTTCTTTCCACGTAACTTTGACGCACAAACATTAACCCTGAGGCTCCCGGGGACGGCTGCCGGGGCTCTCGCTGCTGTTCTGGCAGCAGTGCGTGGCTGGCCAGCTGCTTGTTCTGGAGCCAAATCAGTTGATGAGGAGGAAAATCTCTGAGAAGGGTCAAGAGAGTCAAGCAGGTTCCATCTTGGGTGAGGAGATGATCTTTCCCAGATCAGAGGCTGGAGACAGCCCGGCCCCTGGCAGTCCTACCGACTTAAGCTTAACTGGGGCCAAAGACAAGACCCAATAGGCCATAATACAAAGTGCTTAGTAATACTTGATATGGGAACCACACTCTACAGTGAGTAATGTGCTTCTAATTAATCATCTTTAAGACAAGCCCATTGGGCTGGTAGGGCAAAGGGTGGTTCCACTGAGACTCCACAAGGCAAAGCTGGATACTGGTGAAATCCATTTGATGACAATAGCATTTGAACCCAGATCTTCTGACATAGTCGGTGACCTTTCCATGATATTACTGATACCTATGGTGCAGGTGTGAGTGTGGGTGTTTTTATGTGTATTAAGAGCACTCTTTAGAAAGATAGGGCAAAACTTTGGGAAAGAAGCTCAAGGTTAGAGTGAGAAAAGGTTTGAGCTGGAGCCAGAAGCCACTTAGGCAAGAGACAGATGGCCAGCCCCAGTCTCAGTGTTGAGAAATCTGAGTGTTCCCGGGATCCAACCTTCCCCAGATCATCCGAGCCAGCCATGCGTTCCAGGGGGAATCAGTTGGTTGGTGGGATTACAGGAGAGCATCCTAAGGATGAGGGTGGAGGTAAGTGAAATCCCAACAACCACGCGCAGGAAAGAGGCAACATGTTACGTGGTGGGGGACAGGGAGACAGCTGTTGGGGTCTGATGAACTGGGGCTCGTGCCTGGCTCTGTCACTTGCTATCTGTTTGATTTGGGGCATTTTTCTTAATATTTCTACCCATCAGTATCTCAACTATAAAATGGGGTTAACGATACCTGATACCTACCTTGAAAGACATTAAACGAGATAATGGCAGGTAAAGCGCCCAGCACAGGGATCACCCAGGTGATCAGTCTGAGGCAGTGAATACCTTAGGGCCTGCGAGCAATTCTGCAATTCTGGCTGCGACTACAAAGAATCCCCTTCCAAGAGACCAGCGCCTCCCTGACCCCCTGTGCCCCAGTCACGCACGTACACGCGGCCAGTACTAAACTGCCATCCCTGAGTGACAGGGCCCAGCCACAGCCTGCCAGAGGCAGCAGAGTGAATGGGCTGCAGCATGAATGAGGGGCGGAGTGGGGGGCAGCTCTCTCCAAACGGGCTGCGAGCCAGCCCTACAAGTGCTGGTGCATGGCCGTGGTCGAGGGCGAGGGGACTGGGGTGAGCAGCTACCCCCGTGGAAAGCAAGCTGGTGATGGTGCCAGAGAGCTGCAGGGAGCGTGTCCTGGAGCGGGGGAGGGGGAGGGGGAGGCTGGGAACTCAGAGCTCCTTGTGGCTCTTGCCACAGCCCTTCTGAGCTCAGCCCGTCCTTCCTCCTGTTCCGTCTCCCCAGGTGGAGGTCCCTCCTCTCACCTTCCAGGGGACCCAGTACAGTGAGCCTCTTGCGTGGCAGTGGGTCTTAAAGGCAGCGTGTGGCGGACACACAGTTACACCTATGACTCTTGAACCCTGCCTAGAAAGGTACCCCAGTGGAGACCAGCCCATGGAGAAACCCAACCCAGGCAGTGTTAACTCTGTGCTCCAACAGATCTCTGCCTTCTTGGTTGAGTAGCAGATAAAGTAGTTGGTTTGCATTTCAGCGCTACATGTATGAAAAATTATACATCTTCAAACACTTTAGAAACAGAGTGAGATGCAGGTCACACCTGAGAGGCATGTGGGAGCCGAGACCAGCTGAGGAAATAGCAGATTCACGTCTCCTGCTATGTGCTCACCCTTATTTAAACTGTTTGTTTCCCCTCTCTCTGCCCAGTGTTTAATCCACGTGCCTATAAAGTGGGCTCACTGCACAGCACTTTAGAGGTTACAGAATGCTTTCATGCCTGTTGATGCATTGGAAGCCCCCAGGAACCCTGGGAAATAAACAGAGCAGGGATCATTAGTCCCATTCAGCAGATGAGGAAAATGAGCGCATTAAGAATAAGTAACACACCCAGCTCTCTCCAGTGACTCTTATGTGTCGACCCCTCAGCCACCAAACAAAGCAGCACAGAATTCTGGCTTGTCACTGCAGCAGGGTTTGATTAAACTTAAATGTGGGTTTGAGCCTGAAATAAACTGCAAGAGGCAATTGAAAAATGACCTTCCTCGGTGATTTTGGGAACAGAAACTGGCATGCACAGTTGGCCTTGGAGATGCCAGACTAGGGGGAGGGCCAGAGATGGAGCCGGTGTTCCTGGGAGGGTCTGTCCAGCCAGAAGTCTTCAGGAGCTTTTCAGGTCCAGAGCCCGAGCTCTGGCAAGCTGACCAGCCACTTCAGCTGCAGCCTATGAATTGGAAGTGGCACACACAGACCCAGCCACGTGCCTGTGCACCAAGAGGAGAGCAGGGCTGTGAGTGATGACAGAAAGCTGCTGGAAATTTCATCTATTGCTCATTTATACAATCACAGAACATCAGAGCTGGCCTAGTCCCCACTTTCCCCAGTAGGCTCTGAGCAACCATAGATCCTCTGGATGCTAGTAAGTGTTGCAAAAGGAAAGAATTTACAGTTACAGTCTAGTAAAGTTGAGGGACACTCTAGGTTAAAGGGCATTAAGCAGGTGTCTTTAACAGCCCCCAGAGCCTTTAATAAGCTAACACGGAATATGAATCTCCAAGAAAGGGCAGTTAGCAAATTTGCTTTGCTTACAGAGAGTCTCCTAGGACTAATATTCTGAAAAACAAATGTCAAGGAACCCTAATCTAGTCCATTTTCCTCTTTTTACTAAGGAGAAAGGTGGAAGCCCAGAGATGTACAGTGATCTGCCTGGGGCTGCACACTTCTTGGTGCCGAGCCAAGACTGGAGAATTTGACCTCTTTCCAGTGTGCCTCTCAATCCAGAGGATGATGAGAAGTCCAATATAGGCCAGAGTCCAGGAAACTGTGTTAGGCCAGACCCAGGAAAGAGAATGTCCCAGCTTTAGTCTTTAGGCCCCTTTATAACCAAACAGTTTATATATTGCCATGATTCTGTGTGTCCCAACCTGGAGACAGGGAGCACATTCTTATGTGCTTATAAGACAACTGATAACCTCCCTCCCAAGACCCACAGTCCTTTCTGAGTCATGCTCTCAAGGAATGGAGAACCCCAGAAGTGGTCTTAGGGTGGGCTAATTCCTCTGGGGTCAGTAAAGGAGCCACACCTGGTCCCGCAGGAAGGCTCTGAGGCTTGCCCACCATGCCTCCAAGTCATTCATGCCTCCTTGCTCAGAAGCCTCAAGTGAGAGCACTGGAGAAGGCTCTTCCCATAGGCAGAGTTGAGAGCCATTATCTGGAGTTGTAGGCTGCAGAGATGCTACTCGAAGATTCTCCCCTTCCATGTGTCCATCTCCTCTAGTTTACCCGTATCCAGTTTAGGAATCTACTGCGGGTTTGGGAAACATACATTGGATTGGACTGAATTGAATGCCTCCGGATTCAAACATGGTGCCCCCGAGATTCTGGGACGTCTCATCAGGTGGGGTGACACTCTGAAGCAATTAGCTCTGCTGATTAACTTTTTAAAAGCACCTCAGAGCAGAGTCTTAAGTGGCTATGACTCAAGGTAGTAAACTTTGGCTAAAGAGGCCATGTGGACCAGGGCAGGTAGGAGTGAGTATCCAGAGAGAGGGTCCTGGGCAGGGTGGCGTCATAACATGACTTGGTACCTATGTAATATGGTGATGGCAACGAGGAGGCCCCTGAAGATAAATGTCACATGCCTTCGGGTTCTGCCTGGGGCTAGTTGCTGCCCCTGTGACCAGCTGGAGCCTGGGAAGGAGAGGACAGCAACACTCCGTGAAAGAAGCATGTAAAGCGTGCCTGCTTCCTGGGCTCACAGCCTGAGCATCTCTCCGCAGCAACTCATAAATAGGCAGGCTGGGCGCCACCCGCCTATTCCCAGAAGCTCAGAAAGCGCCACACTCAGGGGTAGCGTCCACCTCAAGGCTGTGCAGCCTGCCCTTTAGGAATAACTTTTCCCTCTGTAGTCTCCTCCCCAGCTATGAAATTTTTTCCCAAGAGATCAGGAAGGTCATCTGTCATATGGAAGACCATACAACAGAGCAGGAACTAGGAGCCTGGTGTTGCCCTGTGGGGGTTACTTTAGAACAAAGTGAGAGCAATATTGGAGTTTCAACCTTCTGGGAATTTTTCTTTTTCTCTGAAAGGGCCTCAGTTACAGAAGTTGAGAGAGGAGACGGAGGATTTTCAGGGAAAGAAACAGGATGCAGCAATAGAACACCCCCGCCCCCCATCTCAGAGCCCACAGTTAGACCCCTCGCACACAGGGCACCGGGGCCCTGAGGTTTCTCCAAGGTCAAGGAGGGGTGGGAATGAAGTGGAGTTTCAGATCAGGGTCCCTGAGCTTTCCATGCGGCTCTGAAGATGGAACTAAATTGTTAGGGCTGAGTGTATGGGAGGAGGGGTGGGCGGGAAAGATGTTTCCTTATAGCCGAGCTTAGGCTAAGAATACCATGTTTTTAAGCTATTTAAGAGCAATGGGAAAGAAGGAACAGTGAGTACAGATCTGCTAATGTGGTGGTGATGCTTCCTGGAAAGTGGACCCATCAATCCACAGGGGCTTCAGAAGGGGGAGTGATGCATGCCCCACTGATGGGCCTGTGCTGGAAAGAAGGCCCTTGATTGGCTCTTTACCTGGAAAAGGGGCATCTACAGCCCAGTTGTTGTGTGGAGGGGAGAGACAGAGAGGGAATCGCACAAACTAATCCTGTTGATAGGCTCCTTTTAAGGTCCAGCCCTTGGCCCTCATCCCCTACATCCTTCAAGACTTCTCAGCTGTCCTGTGTCTATACAGTAAGAAGCAATTGGTCCAAGCACAGCTCTGATAAGTGGAAGCTGCTAGATTTGGGGCTAAGAATCTGCAGAATAGTATCTGGCTAAAGATAGCCCTCTGTTCCAATATTTCATCTTCCCCAAAGCAATCTCTGCCAGTCAGGGTTCATTTGTCTCCACCTTGTAGACTGTGCCCTTGAAGTTTAAGATCAGCCCACCATTGTATGCCCAGCGAGTCCTCCTCTGGCCACTGCCTGTGCCCTGAACTGCTGTGGTCCCTGTGGGCTGCCATCCTGCCAAGAGGAACAAATCAACAAATGGGCCTGGAGATACAAGGGTACACCAGGTCTACATTCAGCTGTATCGAATGCTAAAGAATGCTTAACATTGCCCACATGTGTTTTTCATAATAATAGCCACCAATTATTATATAGCCAGGTTGCACATTTACACCCTAGACTAAAATGTACAAAGAAGATGTAGCTTCTTTATTTCCTATAAAATCTTCCCCATGAATGCCCACCCTACCAGGCAGCAAAAAACGGTACAAAGGGCAACTTTACATTTGAACTTGTCCATTATAGCATCTCAGGTTTAATAAAGAGTCTCATTTGGTTGATCCAGTATCTTTCAGGAAAACACAGCCTTGAGATGGTCTTTTCTCCTCCTGTTCCATTTTCAAGGTAGCCTTTTGTGTTATAAGGTACTTACTTGACCTGTTTGTGGCAAGGGAGAAGGGGGCCCCCTACTTATCAGGGACCTCAGATCCCTGAGAACTCACAGAGGCTGACTAGTCACCTCTGAGGTGTGCCTGGTCCCATCTGTCCCCTGGGGCATCAGGCCGACATCCTCCACTAAAGGCCTGATTCCAGACATTTGCTTCCACGTGAGAAGCCCTGATTGTAGCCGTCTCTTCTTCTGGATCCTGGTTGACAGGAGCCCTAGCAACTCTATATCCCCTCACCAGGGCCGCGGGCAGAGGTGAGCTGGTAAACGTTTAACGTCTGGTTCTTGGCGGATGGGACGAGGAGTGGAGAAGCCCTGATGGTAGCATTTGCCTGTTCCCATGGTGTAAATACTCCCACTGTGGTCAATTACAAGCTAACAACATGAGGCCACTGAGCATGGAGCTTGGTCAGCCGTGGGTCCAGCCCCCACAGGCCCTGAGGAACTTCTGGACTCCCTGCAGGTCATGTGACACTGACTCACTCACCTCCCCCATCTGGGCCTGTCCCGTGATGACTGTTAAATGTGTTGAAGTCAGAGTTCCTCCAAGGCTTAGGGTCTCCCACCAGCAGAGTCCTGGGGAGCCCGTCCATCCATGTCACCGATCTCCCCCATTCCTACATGGATGTTTACTACAAGAGGGTGAAAGCAAGATGTGTGTTTCTGACAACTACACCATCTGTCTCCCCATCTCCTTCTCAGGATCCACTTGGGCCAAAATCATCAGTCTTTCCACACCTCTTCCTCCTAGCAAGGACCATCCTTGTGTCTCATTCTTCTTATTTCCATGGTCTTAAGCCTCACAGTTGTCACTTAAAGGCAGAAAAGGTTTCCCCCTGTATCACAGAACCTATTTTATGACGTGAGTCCTCCCCTGACCTTCATCTAAATAAGACCCTTCCTGATTATCCCTCTAACAAGCTCATGTTTTGTTCTTTTATGATCTAGCCACACTTTGTCACTGTATACACGTTAGCTGACTTGTTTGCTTCCTGACCCCTCCAGCCTCCCGGCCCTAGGAAGGCAGAACCATCACCTGTGATCTTCACCTGACCACCAGGTTATACACTAAGTACCATAAGTAATTTTACCTTGCAATGAAATGTAACAGGAACTCATTTGTCTAAAAACGTATTGAAAAACATTAATTAAGACACTAGAGCTAGGTGTCGGGGCTAGAATGCAGTGTGATACAGTGAGGGATGCATAGCTTCTGTTCCTAGTCTTGACTAAGAAATCTAGACTGTAAACAATTAGCTCTATAACCTTGGCTAGATTAGCTAATCTTCAGGTAATCATTCTGAATCATCCTTATAAAAGATTTGAGATCTGCTCTATCTACCTCACTAGAAGCTAAGACCACTTCTCTGGTTCTCCATTTCTCATTACATCAGTCAGGGTCCCAACAGGAAACAGATGACATATATTGATCGACAAGGAGAGTTTACCGAAGGTATTATTTAGAGGGATACAGGCAGGGTACATATACGTACAGCCCCTGGCACATCATAGGTGTTGACTGTTGAATAAATATGGTATTGAGAGAACTCATGTAAGCTCAGGACACAATTCAACTCAGATTTTAATGAATAACTGTTTTTCCAGCACTGTGCTAAATGTGGTGGGAATTGCAGAGGAAACACAATGCTCATTCATCTAATATTCATTCATGTAACCCATAAGTTAAGAACAGTAATGACTGGAGGTGGCATCAGAGCTGTGATAATAGAAAGAAGGGCCACTGACCCGGTAGTCTGAATAAATACCTGGGCGATTACTTGGTATCTTAAGAAATAGCCCAGATGCCTTCAAGGTGGATAGTCCCATGTTAATCATTCGTGTATGTCTTATCGCCCTTATGTACGTTTGCACAAAGTGGATTTTCCACTACTAGACTCTAAACTCCATGAGCGTGGGGCAAGCACAATGGGCATGCAGTAGACGGTCAATAAAATTTGTCATGGTAGTTTAAAAAGCAAGTGGAGGGCTTCCCTGGCGGCACAGTGGTTGAAAGTCCGCCTGCCGATGCAGGGGACACGTTTCCGTGCCCCGGTCTGGGAAGATCCCACATGCCGCGGAGCGGCTGGACCCGTGAGCCATGGCCACTGAGCCTGCGCGTCCGGAGCCTGTGCTCCGCAACGGGAGAGGCCACAACAGTGAGAGGCCCGCGTACCGCAAAAAAAAAATTTTAAAAAAAGCAATTGGAGAGAATAAGTCTTATTTTTGCCAATTACCCAGGTTTTGCTTCCAGTCCTTCCTTCCAGTTGTTACATACAGGATGTATTTTAGATTCTTTTTACAACTTGTTCTCATCCGATTGGAGGAATTACCTGATCAGACCCTTTCTTCCCTTCCTCAAACCAAGCATCCCCAGAAGCTTCAACTCTGGAGGCAATGGGTCGGAAGGAAGAAGATGACTGCAGTTCCTGGAAGAAACAGACCACCAACATCCGGAAAACTTTCATCTTCATGGAAGTGCTGGGATCGTGAGTCCTGGGGCTGAGGATAGGGTGGCTGGGCTGCCTGCTGTGGGGAGTCGGAAAAGAGTCATCCTGGGCCGGCAGAGAATGATAAACTGGGCTGAGGCTGCTGTAACACTATCTCAACAGCTCTCAGGGAATAGAGTAGGGGCTTCAGGGGGTAGATTAGGGAAAGGCACCTTGGGGTAATACAGAGAACAATCCAGCCCTTTCCCCAGGGTTCTGCCTCCTTACTCCCAGAGGCCCCCGCCCTGCTTCCAGATCTGTGACAAGTTTTGAGTCCTGCCCTGGTTGCAGGAAAGAGGAGTCCTGGAGCATCTCTGGAGACTCAGTGACTCTAGAACCTTCCTGGGCCTCCTCACCCAGCTTCCTCATTTCCACCCCTGCAGCGAACAGGTCAAACCCACTGTCTGCTATAGACAGAAAAAAGAGCTTCTGAGGCTTGGAGAGTGGATGGGTTACACACACCTGGATTGGCTCCCACCACCACCATCCTTTCTGCTCCATATTTAAGTACCATGTTGGAAAAATAAAGTCACACTGTAGCCAAACTCCTACTAGCCTCTGGGGTGTCTGTTTCTTCCCACTTGACAATGACTACATGGCTGGTGGAGCAGAGACAGCCTGTCTGGAACTGACTCTCCACTTAGTCCCACCCCTCCTCCGAGAGGTCACAGCCTCTGACACAGGCTGGCACACACTCCAGGCCACCGGCTCCCATGGCCTCAGAACCCAAGCTGGTCAGCTAATTAGTCTGGGCTAATTGGGCTGGGGACATGAGGGGCCCTCAGTGGGTTGTCCACTCAAGCCAGCTTTCCCTTTAGCCAAATTGGCTAAGTTTAGCCCCCTCCGCCTGGCTAGGAGGCAGTGGCCTCAGGCAGCGACAGCTGCCTACACTCTCTCTGCAGCCGTAAAGGAGTCAGCTCGGCCCTGAGAGGAGGCCTCTGAGCCCTCCCATCCCAGGCAAGGGTGACACTCCACACACAGGAGGATCTCAGCGGCCGCCCTGGTCATCAGAGCCTCCACCCTCCATGGAGGGCCATTGTCAAGATGGGGTTGGCTAGAGAGGGGATTTTGGGCAGGAGAAAGAGACAACGCTCATGAGTGAATCTGAAATGATTTGCTAAGCAGCCCAAAAATCCAGAGAAGGAGAGAGAAATAAGCCCAGGTTGAGAAGAGCGTACTCACCAACCGCTCAGATTTGTGCTATAGGATTCTGAGAGGCAGCACATGGCACCCTTACAGAGTTCAGTGAGGTCTGCCAAGCAGCTTCTAAACCCAGGAGGACATTGGAGCCACCTGGGGGAGCTTATGCCTCTAACTTTTAACTGTGAAAATGTTTAAGTAAAGAAAAGGTGAGGGCTTCCCTGGTGGCGCAGCGGTTGAGAGTCCGCCTGCCGATGCAAGGGGACACGGGTTCGTGTCCCGGTCTGGGAAGATCCCACATGCCGCGGAGCGGCTGGGCCCCTGAGCCATGGTCACGGAGCCTGCATGTCCGGAGCCTGTGCTCCGCAACAGGAGAGGCCACAACAGTGAGAGGCCCATGTACCGCAAAAAAAAAAAAAAGGTGAAATAATAGTACAGTGAACTCCGATACACACACACACTTACACACTGCATTGAACAATTTGTAAACAACTTGCAAACATCATGACATGTCACCTCTGAGTCCTCTGTCGGCCCTGCCTAAGAATGAGGGCATTTTCTTCTATGTTCACAAATATCATTGTCACACTCAAGAAAATGAATAAGTCCCTAAAATCATTTTAGTCTAGGGAATTTTTGAAAAATACAGGCTCCTGGTCCCAGACTACTAAGCTAAAATTTAAGGGGCTAGGACCCAGTGGCCAGGCATATATATATATATATATATATATATATATATATATATATAATTTATATATATATATTTTATTTATTTATTTATTTATTTATTTATTTATTTATTTATGGCTGTGTTGTGTCTTCATTGCTGCATTCAGGCTTTCTCTAGTTACGGTGAGCAGGGGCTACTCTTCGTTGCAGTGCGCATGCTTCTTATTACAGTGGCTTCTCTTATTGTGGAGCACGGGCTCTAGGCATGTGGGCTTCAGTAGTTGTGGCACATGAGTTCAGTAGTTGTGGCTTGCGGGCTCTAGAGCACAGGCTCAGTAGTTGTGGCACACGGGCTTAGTTGCTCCGCGGCATGTGGGATCTTCCTGGACCAGGGATCGAACCTGTGTCCCCTGCACTGGCAGGCGGATTCTTAACCACTGCGCCACCAGGGAAGTCCCAGGCATCTGTGTTTTAAGTGTTGCTGGTGGTTCTAATGTACCCAGCCCAGCACTAATTTGAGGGAAGCGGGTGGACCAGACAGGGCAAGTCACAGCTGTTGCAGCAGCTAAGGCTGAACAAAAGCTAAGAAGTCACCTCTGTGGTGCTCAGGATGGGGACAGGCAGCCCCAGGCTGCAGACCCCACAGAGTTACCCAGGTGAGGTGCTCTCCACAGAGGGGGCAGCTAGACAGAGCTGATTCCCCTGTTCAGGAAGCGCCAGAATCCCATGACAAAGGCCCCTTTCCTCTAGTCCTCAGCTCCTCTGGAACAACCTACCAGGGAAAACAGACTTCTGTGAAATCTGCCCAGATGCCACCCACAATTCCGGGGCCCTGGGCAGCTGTAGGGACACTGGGCAAAACTCGTCCATTACAGAGGGTACATCACCCAAGTCCCAGGCCTCCTCCTTTCACTGCCAAGGAAGAGATTTTTCTTCTTGGTTCCTCCCTTCCTCTCTATCACCCAGGCTCCCAGTAAGAGCAGAGAGCTATTCAGAGCAGGAAACGCAAATCAAGATCTATTGCAGCAAGCGCTTGCTCCTGGCTCTGAAGCCTCTGCCCATCTTGCCTTCTGACCCAAGCAACCCTGGCCACTCAAATCTAGCTCTCTGCTCCCCGGTCTGACAAATGGCACAATTAAGTCTTCTAATCCCTCTCCCCTGCCCCTGCCACAGACACACACACACACACACACACACACACACACACACGCACACACACCACACCTCCCCCCCACACACACACACACAATGCAAGGCAGCCTGAGCCCAAAGAGCAGTAATTACCACAACATTGCACAACCCTAGGAGATACCACAAACTGCAGGATCCCCCAGGAAGGTTTGATCTCATTTTGCAAGTGGACCCAGAGTGGGTATCAGCTTTGAAATCAGGGGACCATCGATGTGTGGTTCTAAAGATACAGGTGAAAGGGGAGAAATCTGAAGGTGGACCCGAGAACATCACAGGTGGAAGGAATCTTTAAGGCCATGTGGCTCGACTCTCCTTTTACAATAAGGAAAGCGGGGTCTCAAGATGAGTAGAACACACTGATAATCCCAGTCCAAACTTCCTACCCATCCATCCACCCATCCACCCATCCACCCATCCATCCATCACACAAACGCTGACTATTTTCCATATGCTGCCAGGCACAGGACCTGGTGCCTAGCCACATTTGTCTCCCCCCATTCCCTGCCTCACACTCTAGCAAAAGAGGCTGGATTACCCGAGGCAGCCCTGCCTCTCCCTGCTGTTTTGCACCTCTAGGCTTTTTCTCATGCTTCTTCCCCACCCCCACCTGAAACATCACTTCCAACTTGTTTTTTCCCTAGGCTAACTCTCATTGATCCCTTAAAACTGAGCTCAGTGTGTTCTTAAGTCAGAGGGCCACAAACGATGTGCTTCTCCACCATCCCAAGTGGTCAGTTTGGACACATTAGGGAAAAGCGCCCTTTTCTCTAGCTTGCTGTCCAGAGCGAAAATGTTCTTATAATTATTGTATGAAAGGGTACAGTGGTTCCAAGGTGATGGCATCTGCTGGAATTGTACAGTGTGTAACCGCCCGACCATAGCAGAGGCCCTGTCTTAAGTGTCCGTTTTCTGTGGTCTCATAATACTTCCCGCTGATCTGTGTCTCTCACGCTAGATTCTAAGCTAGACCAATACGAATCCCAGTGCCTAACACAGAGGGGTTCCGTCAGCTCAACAAGCATTCATGTAATGCCTAATAACATTTTTCAAAGTGAATGTTAATTGTTCATTTGTCTGTGCTCTTCACTATTTTACAGGCCCCTTGAGAGCAGAAACACTTCCCTTTTTATCTCTAGTGTCTAAGATTCAGTAGGTGCTCAATAAATCTTGATTAGAGGGATGAGTGAATGAATGAATGAATGAATAGAGCAAGCTCTGAAGGCTCTAATTAACTCAGTTTCAAGTGCAGCTGGGGGAAACAGGAAACACCAAGTATTTTTCTAATGCAGATTCTGAATGTCCTTACACAAGCTTGATTGCTATTGGGGCTTCATGCTAGGATCCCCAGATGGCAGGGGAGAGGATGGCTCAGCTATTTCCTCACCTAAACTATCGCCTCTTGTTACGATCAGGTGTTCTCCCTACTGGTATTCAAATAATAATAGTGCTAATAAGAATAATAGTATCTAGCACATGTAGTTTACTAGATCTCAGGAAAACTTTTATGCACTTATATCTATAACTCAGGTACTCTTCTAAACAACCTTATGAATCAGATACTATTGACATTCTCGCTTTTTCAGATGAAGAAACTGTGCATACGGAAGTTAAGTGACTTGTTACCCAAAAAACTGAGGTTCTAATGTGGGCCATCAGGCTCCAGCATCCACTATTTGCTAACTGCTGTTATGGCCTTGTCTCCATAGGACCCCCTTGAACCAAGAAGCCTGCAATTTGGAATCCTACCCTGTGCTCCCATTGGGTTCCATCCTTCCTGTCTTCAGACAGCCTGCCCAGAGCTGCTGAGTTCCATTTTGTCCTCACAGATCCCACTGAGCGAGAGGATGCTCACCTCCCTTGCCGCTAATCATTGGTTCAGGGCAATCATCAGTATCTAAAACAGATACAAGAGTCTTTTTTCTCTCATTGTCAGAGCCCTGTCTCCCAGTGCTACTTCCAGCTGCCACACAGTGACCACACAGCACACCACACTGGGAGAAGCCAAGTAAATTGACTCTGCAGTGGCCTCTCTTTGGATTTAATAAAGTTTTATTTTTCAAAATGTACAGTTGCTGGGACCTGTTCATGCATCTTCACCAGCAGCTGGGGCATCTCAACCCTTGGTGTTTCTGGTGTAAATGACTGGAGCTCTATGCTTTGAAACCAGCTTAAAACTCCTTTACTAAGGAGCTCCTGAAGGGCTGCCCTGGCCAGGGAACCAGGAAGCTTCAGTCTCTCAGAGACCACAGCTGGGGTTATAAGCTTCCAGTTGGGAATTTCTTTACGGAGTTTCTAATATGTCGCTTTGTCAAACGAGACTAGGTTATCGAGCTTGTCCCGAACCTTGCCTTTGGACCACTTCTTCTTTTTGGCCTTCGCCCCCAGATTTGTTCACTGGGCCTCTGTCTTTCTTGGCCAACTTTCCAGCCTCCTTCTTGTTCTTGTCGTCCTTGGGCAGCATGGTGAAGCCGGGAGAGCAAGTGCTATATCACTGCCGCCTCGCTAAGATCAGCAGCGGCCTCTCTTTAATGGGTTTGCCAAGTGGAGAAATCTCCAGAGCTAAAGCAGTTTCTGGGAACCATTCCCAAATTATGGAACTAGGCAAGAGCAGCCGCCTAGTCCCTGAGTCTGTAATAGAATCTTTTCTTTCCCACGTGATAGGTGAAAGAAAGAACACAAGGGCATGTCAGATGGGGTCTGCCATGGATACGGCTCCTCGGGGTGCCCACGATGACAATGAAATGACTTACCACTCACACCTTCTTTCATCTACCCATTTTGCCTCCAGCAATGCTCTCTACCGGCCAGTAATAATTTTTATCTCTTGGTGTCTTCTACTCAGAGGAGCTTTTTCAGAAGTTTTCCTGGTGAAGCAAAGGGTAACTGGGAAGCTCTTTGCCCTGAAGTGCATCAAGAAGTCACCTGCCTTCCGGGACAGCAGCCTGGAGAATGAGATCGCTGTGTTGAAAAAGTGAGTGGGTCCTAGGGTTGGTCGAGTGCAACCGTGGGATCACAACATTTCCTTCACAAATTACCTTCGAGAAGGACTGGGGCTGAATTTCTACACCCAAAGGTATTACTCCCTTTGATTGAGCTAATGGGTCAGTTTGATCCATCAGCTATATTAGCCAGACAGCTGATTTTCTTTTTTTTTTTTTTTTCAGCAAATTAACTAGTGAGCAACTGATAGCAGAGTTGGTTTGTGTACATAAACCACAGGGTAATTAGCTCAAAGGACCAAAAATCAATTGAGGGCCAACACCAGGAAGAATCAATAATTAAGCAAGCAGCACAAGATTTGGAAATGAGCCTCAGTTTCTTCCAAAGCAAATGCAGGTTCAGCACCCCAACTATCATGAGGGAGCTGACATTAACAAATCATCAAATGTTTAGAGTGGGACTCATAAAACAAATCCTTGTGGAACCCCTATGGTGAGCCAAAAGTTTATTAGGCATCAAGACCACAAGGATGAAACAAACAAAATTCCTTACCCTCAGGAGCTCGCATTTTGTGAACAGAGTTAAAGGTGCCCACAAGTAGCACCAGTCCCATTGGATGTGAGCCACACAGCAAAAGGCAGAGTTCAGAGGAGACAGAGATTCCGGTTGCCTATATGTGTGTTTTCACGAGTATGTGTTTTAGGTACATTTTCAAAGAAGACAGACCTTGATGGATGAGGAGAATTTTGTGGAGGCAGGAGGGGCAGTACAGAAAGGGAAGTCTGGCCAAGGGTAGCATAAACTTTAACATAGAATCATGGACGGGCAAAGGGATGTTAGGGGAGAGTTAGAATTGGAAGCCCCTGAACTGAGAGTGAGGACCGTCAAGGGACAGGAGGTGAAACTAAAATGGTCAAGTGGAATCTGATAGTAAAGGGTCTTAGATGCTGTGATAAAGAATGTTGACTTTATTCTGTGGGCAAAGAAAAGTCATCAAAGGATTTTAAGTCAAAAGTCCCATGATCGGATTTATATTTTAGAGCCATCCCTCTTAAGCATGGTGGTGGAGGATGGATTGGAGGGATGCCAGCCTAGAGGACAGGAGACCAATTGCCAGACTTTCTCAATAATCTAGTCAAGGGATGAGGACGCAAGCAAAGGTAGTGGCAGGATCACATGGTGGCAAGAAGACTGGGTTCAAGAAATTTTTCAGAGAGAGAGGTGATTAGGTTTGGGGGTTGGCTGGTAGGAGTGTAAAAAAGAAAAGCATTAAAAAGACCCTGAGAAAGTAGGATCTCAAGGAGATATTTGTACACCCACGTTCATAGCAGCATTATTCATAATAACTAAACCATGGAAGCAACTCAAGTGTTCATCAGTGGATGGACGGATAAGCAAAATGTGGATATACGTGCAATGGAATATTGTTCAGTCTTAAAAAAGAAGGAGATTCTGCACTTTGTTTGCAACATGGATGAACCTTGGGGATATTACGCTAAATGAAATTAGCCAGTCAGAAAGAGATACATACTGTATGATCCCACTTATATGAGGTACTTAGAATAATCAAAATCATAAAGACAGAAAGTAGACAGGTGGTTACCAGGGGCTGGGGGCAAGGAATAACGGGGAGTTATTGTTTAATGGGCATAGAGCTTCAGTTTCACAAGATGATAACAGTTATGGGGATGGACAGAGGTGATTTTTGCACAACGATGTGAACATATTTGATACCGCTGAACTGTACACTTAAAAAATGGTTAAGATGGAAAAAAATTGTTTATCATGAAATATATCAAAGTGTAAATAAAATATATATGTATAATTTAAGGAAAAAAAAAGAGACCCTGAGATTGAGCTGTTATGTGGACAGTCATATCATTACTTGGGATAGCAAATGAAAAGGATGTGTAGGCTGAGAGGAAATAGAAATTGGTTGCAATATATTGAATATAAATATCCACCTACCTCTACATACATTGAATAAATATCCACCTATCTCTACATAGAGGTAGGTGTCTGGTAGGATGTTAGAGATGTAAGTCTGGGCTTCAGGGAGATTAGGGTAGAGACTGTAAACTCATTGAGAGCAAGGACTAATATGGTCTTTCTTATCATTGCATTGTATCACCAGTCCCTAACAGCAGAGGTGCTCAATAAATATTTGTTCAGTGAGTAAATCATCGATAAATTACTGTTAGCATCGTCAGATTATAAATGTAGTTGAATCCATCATGTAGCCACTGCATGGGGTCTGTACTTTTTTTAAAATATCTTAAAGATGCTAGCTACTATTGATTATGTGTTTTCTATTTCCCCAGGCACTGTACTAAGCATTTTACACGTCTTATCTCTTTTCATCCTGATATAATTCTATGGGAAAGATGTACTTTACAGACAAGGAAAGTGAGGCTTAGAAGATCTGAGTAAACCAGCCAAGGTTACCCAGCTAGTAAGTGCCTGAGTCAGACCTGAACTCAGGTCCAACTGACTCCAAGTCTAAGTTAACCCTTGTGCTGCACAGCCTTGAGTAAAACTTCTTAGAGACTTTTCTCCTGGATGGGCATGCACAGAGATGCTGCCTAGAAACCAACCCTGCAGCTAATATGATTATTCTGCTTGCCTCAGCCTCTGAGTAATCCCAGACAAAGGTAATCTAGGGCAAGGTTTCCTGACCTCAGTGCTATTGATATTTTATTTATTTTTTATATCTTTATTGGAGTATAACTGCTTTTCAGTGTTGGTTAGATTCCTCTGTACAAGAAAGTGAGTTAGCTATATGTATACATGTATCCCCATATCCCCTCCCTCTGGCGTCTCCCTCCCACCCTCCCTATCCCACCCCTCTAGGTGGTCACAAAGCACCGAGCTGATCTCCCTGTGCTATCCGGCTGCTTTCCACTAGCTATCTATTTTACATTCGGTAGTGTGTATATGTCAGTGCTGCTCTCTTACTTTGCTCTTGACATGTTAAACCAGCTAATTCTTTGTTGTGTTGAGGGCTCTCCTGAGCACTGTAGGATGTTCAGCAACATTCCTGTCTCTACCCACTAAATGCCAGGAGCACTTCCCCCCTCCCCAATCGTGACAGTCAAAAATGTCACTAGATATCGTCAAAGATCCCCTCAGGGACGAAAGAGCCCCTGCTTAAGAATCACTGATCTAAGGCATCCCACCGAACTGACCCTCAAAATGAGCATCTGTCTTACTTCTCACAATATCCTGGAACAATAATTTTGCAGCACTTCCTCCGTGGTTACCCATGAGGAGGCTTAGCTAATCAAAATCCCACCTGTTGAGGGATCACACTTCATGCGATGTTTCTGAAGGAGACCTGGATACCCATTTTGGAGAATAACCTAGTGATCGATGCTCCCCGAGCCTCCCTCAGTTCTTTTAACTTTCTCATTTGGTAAAGTTTAAAGAGATTCCTGGAGTAACAATGAAGTATTTGTTCCCTGAAGCCATGAGGATCAATTACCCATTCAAAAATATGAACTGAACACCATTCTGGGGATCTTTTCTCTGGAATTTTTTTGTGACTGCCTACTTATTAGGAAGGCTTCACAAGGACCCTATCTTCCTAAACATTGTCAGCAATAGTCTCTGAAAGAAATAAAAGTCCAGCTGGGCTAGATTTGCATTCTTTGTCTGGACAACCTGAACCATATACCTTTCTCCATTAACCCTTACTCTTCCTCAGGATCAAGCATGAAAACATCGTGACCTTGGAGGACATCTATGAGAGCACCACTCACTACTACCTGGTCATGCAGCTGTAAGTAGAAGGTGACCTGCTTCTCCACACATGTCTTGTGGGGCCTTAGAGGACTGGAAGGGGTTGGTCGGTGATGAGGGAAAGATGGTGATTAAAAGACAAATCAAGAATTAGTGCAAGAGACCCTGAAATGCCAAGAGTTCCTTCTGGTCATGGATGTGTTCTGAGTGGACCAAGGGGTAAAACTAAGGCTGATGATTGAGTTGGTATGTACCAGTGTAACCTTACCACTTGTTAAAATATTTCCTACCGGTCAGCAAATAGCTGTGGCCCTAACCTGTCCATCCTTCCCTGCTTCCCCATACCCTCAAATTTCTGGGCCTCCCCACAACCCTACTATTGAAGGGGTAATGCCTGACATATCAGGAGGCCTCCAGAACCCTTCTCTGGCACCATAGCTTGAGTCCATTTTGACCAGTCAGTCCATGTCCTCTTAACCGGGCATTAAATATTTTAACATCCTCCAGGGTAAAATTACCGTGAGAGTAGAAGCCACAGGTAGAGAGATATCAGTTCAATAGAAAGAATGACTTTCTCAAAAGAGAGGCACCCAATGTTAACAACAAGCTGATATTGTGTGTGTACCCATGTGTAGGACAGAAATGATACCCCATTAGAAAGGTGTCCATGTCACTGTCATATCCAAATAAGAGCTATGCCTGAGAGTGACTGCTATAGGGTGGGTCAGTGCTCCTGAGGGCTCAGCCTTAGGCTCAGAGATGCTTCTGTGTATAAAGTACACACACTCACTCACACTCACACACACATCACCCGGAAATCTCAGCACAGCTGGATGCAATGTTTTTGACTGATAGGCTGATTCCTCAGAAATTTTAATGAGCTGACTCAGGCTATTAACTCCTGGGCTCACCTGAGGCCCAGTGAATAGTGGTAGCAAGCAGTCAAGGGAGTGAGCTCAAGCCTCCTAGAGCACAAGCTCCAGGACCCAGACCAGTCTGAGTCAGGACACAGTCATACCTGTGTACAAAGAGCATCTTTCTCATGGGCCCCTAGCTCCCATAGCAGAGCCCAGAGCTTCAGGACAGAAACAAAAGGAGTAGGATGGTGTGCATTTTGATTAGAGAAATTCTACTTCCTTATTGTTGCATGGTGCTGTCACGTGTGCATATTCACAACCAGTGTCACTTGCAGCAACTACAGGGAATCAGGTTGCATCATAATATATAGAAATAGTAAGAAAGTGACAAAAAATAAAAGTCTGTCTTAGGAGGGAGTGAGTTCTCTGCCACTGATGTGTTCCAGTACTGTCTAGAAAACTTGGCAAAAATAGTGGAGAGAACATTCAAGACATGGGGGTTGGACCTGACCTTAACGCTCCTCTGAATCCTCAGATACCATACCATGTGAGCCTAAAAACACTATTACTATTAGTCACTATATGACTCTACCTCATAATTTCAGCTTTAGGTAGCTCAACTTTCCAAAATGAAGAAAGAAATCCTGGCATAAGCCCAGTTAGCCTCATCTGCACTTCCTTCTCTCTTCTACTTTGTCTGATTTCAGCTTCACCACCCCCTTGCATCATGGCTTCCTGTGTCCTAGGCCAGGAAAGAAGGCAGCTAAGAAACGTGTCCACAGGAAGCAATTATTGGCCTCCTTTTTTTTTTTTTTTTTTTTTTTGACGTATAGATGATTTACAATGTTGTGTTAGTTGATTATTGGCTTCTTGCAAAACCCTAACCAGAGGCATTTTGCACTTTAATGAAACTTTCCAGGGAGAGGTCAATGGTTGACCCAAATAAATGACTCCCTAGTGATATCATTCCAGGTACCCAAAGAATGTGTTCTGAGGTTGGAGTAGTTCTCCCTGCACCCCTCAAATCATAGTCTGTGGGCACTTGGCCGTTCCACCACAGCTGTGTCCCCAGGGCTACAGAACAAATGAATTCATGTCCCTTTGACCTGAAATAAGTACTGGATTCCTGCACTTGCCCCTGTGCCCACAGTGTTTCTGGTGGGGAGCTCTTTGACCGGATTCTGGAACGGGGTGTCTACACAGAGAAGGATGCCAGCCTGGTGATCCAGCAGGTGTTGTCAGCAGTGAAATACCTCCACGAGAATGGCATCGTCCACAGAGACTTAAAGGTGCCAAGGCGGGGCCCTCAGTGGGAAACAGGGAATGACCCTTTAGGAAGCTACATGAGTCATGGGAAGTCTAAGCTCTGTAAAATGAGAGGGCTAGACTAGCTCATCCCTCAGATTCTAAAACAAATCTTGGGTGACTGAACAATCATTGTTCATTTGCAGCTCAGCCTTTTCCTGAACTTTTCACTAGGCCTCACCCTACTAGGTTACCAAAATAATCCATACGTTTCTTGAATTTAGCCACAGTCAAATTTAATAAATACTTATTGAAAGTCAACATTGCAACAGACACCTACCAGACTTTAGAGAAATCAGAGAAAATAAACTGAAGGTTGGTTTCCTCAACAAGCAAAACAGTCTTAGGGTAGTTAGGGATGAGAAGAGGGAAGGGTTAGTACATTAATAGTTATAAAGCTAAGCCAAGTCGGGGCCAAAACCAAAACTCAAGATGCTGGGTTAGAGGGGTTGAAGGTCTGGTAGGAAGAAGGAAGGAAGGAAGAATGGAGGGAGATTAGTCTGGCTTTGAAGTCAGGAGCACAGGATGTGACTCCCTAAGAAATTATATAACGGGGGAAGGAAAGTGATGCTTGTTTCATGTGATTATATCCTGCGTTACGTGATATTTCTCTTCTCCCATAGCCTGAAAACCTGCTGTACCTCACCCCTGAGGAGAATTCTAAGATCATGATCACAGACTTTGGCCTCTCCAAGATGGAGCAGAATGGTGTCATGTCCACTGCCTGTGGGACCCCAGGCTACGTGGGTGAGTCTAGGAACAGAAGGGAGGTTGACCAGTTGGCTACATTCCACCACATGGATGTTATTCATGAAGAGGGATTGTTGTAAGGAGACAGGGTTCAATTTCAGGGGTGATCCTGGTAGTACGGTCACTTATGAGGTTTAGGGCCAGCCAATCCATCTGGGCCCTCCTGCTCACAAATCCTACATCTCCAAAGGTATCCTACCCCTGAGCCTTCCCACTCCTCCTGTCTATACTTTTGCTCTCACTTTTGCAGACAGACTCACTGCCTTTATCTAGACCAGGGACAGAGAAAAGATCACAAACCCAGAGATCAGTAAATTGCTGAGAGGTTGGCCACTAGACCTCCTTCTACTTTCTCCCAGTCTGGAGAAGACCTCAGCCCCCCAACTGGTGGTATCCTGGAGGCACCTTGTTGTGTTTGAATCTGAGGAACTCAAATATGGGTCCCCAAATATACACCCAAGAAAATACCCTAGGAAACTGGCAGAAGTGGGGCCTCCTGCCTAACAGCCCTGTAGGCTTCCAGGGCCCCCCAAAAGGTGAGAGCAGGCAGGGTACCAGGAGAGAGCATTCATGGGATCTAGGAGGGAGAAAGCCAAAACTCAGAGCATCCACTACTGCCCCTTCCCTCTTAACCACTCATCACCTGATTGGGGCTGGGAGTGGAAAGAAGAACCCTGATTCAACAGAGGGAAGTTTCTCTCTCCCCAAAAGAGAGGTTGGTCACTTACCAGCACATATTGAGTCCATTGGATACAAATCCCTGGTATCTGGGATAAATGCAGACAGCAGCTCACTACTGCCCTAGAGCTCCCAATCAGAGGAAGACATGGCCCATTCCCTCACGGAGCTCTTGATCTGATGGGGTAGACTAAGCCCTTCCCTCAGAAGGTAACAGAGACTGATGGGACAGTTACTACTCAATGGCAGTCCTCAATTAATGGAACTTCTGCTTTCAGGGAGATCCCAGTCTAGTGGGAGAGACAGCCTTTACCTTGCAGATTTCCCTGTCTGAAAGGAGACACAAGGTCCCTGTACTGGAGCGTCCCCCATCTGAGTGGGGAGATATAAGCCCTGCCTCCAGAGAGTACTCAGTCTAATGGGGAAAACATAGCCCTGGAGATCCCCAGTCTGATGGGGGAGTCATAGGCCCTGTCATGGGAACTTTCAGCCTGATGGAGGAAGATTTAGTCTGCTGGGAAAGACACAATCCCTGCCCTAGGGGAATTTTCAGTCTTAAAAAACAACACTATCCCAGGCCCTACCCTAGTCCTCTTCGCTAAGCTGCGTCCTGACATTTGTCCCTCACCCCTCAGCCTTCTCTCTTGCCCCTGCTCAGCTTTGACTCTGCCTTTGGTTTGCTGCAGCTCCGGAAGTGTTGGCCCAGAAACCCTACAGCAAGGCTGTGGATTGCTGGTCCATTGGAGTCATCACGTACATATTGTGAGTAGAAGCTGGCATTGGCTCAGTTCCTGAGGAATCTCAGAGCCTGCTCACCCTTTCGTCTCTCCTCCCCATCTCAGCTCCTTGAGCAGCATCCACCTCCAAAGCACGTGCATGTACACACGCATGCACACACGCGCACACACATGCGCGCACACACACACGCTTACGCACACAGCTCCAAAGGCTCTTGTCCTGACCTCCACCAGGTTATAAAAACAGAGCTCAGTGTGAACCCACCGTTCAGCCACATGGCACTCCCTCTTTAAGCACCCCATCCCCATTTACTGTATATAAATGTATTGAGTCCCACTCTTGTGGAATGAGCAATAAAAGAGGGAGAAGCCAAGCTAAGCTTAGAAGCCAAGTGGGCAAAATGTTCACATCTCAGATTTGTCTCCTGGCAACGTCAGCCCAAGGCAAAATGTTGGCCTGGATGAACCCGAACCTGGTCACTGCTCCTCTCCAAACGTTCTCAGGATCTCCCTTCCAAACCTGCTCACCGCCTCTTCCCCAGCATCCCGTCTCACCTATAGCAAACTCTGCTCTTAGGAAAGTAACCTGCGATTAGTCATTTACTCCTTAGTGTGGATGCATCTCTCTATTTCCTCAGCTTATGTTGAATAATGCTTCTCGTCATTCATCTACTCAACAAATATTCATTGACTGTCTGCTCTGTGCCAATCAGTGGTTTAAGTACTGAAGAATGACGAACAAAGGAGCCTAAAAAAAATCCCTCATGAAACTTACATTCAAGTGGACATTTCTACCATCCTTCTTAAAAATATTTTATATATCATCTGAGAGTCAGGGGAAGTATGTGGAGAGGTGGTGAGGGTTTGGGGGATATAATGTTCAAAGAGGCCTTTCAGGGTGGCCTGTTCCAAGCTTTGACTCCTGCATAAACACTTGACAGACCCTGCATCATTCCTGAATCAGAGGCAGACCCATGTCCTGGTCACACTGCTGGTGGGGACCTTTATGTTGCCTGCCTGTGTATATAGTGGGAGGCTGGACAGAGGGGAGAGGTTGGCCCAGGGAAGATGGGGTCATTCAGCAGCATGTACCTTCCTATTCCACTGCAGGCTGTGTGGGTATCCCCCCTTCTATGAAGACACTGAGTCTAAGCTTTTTGAGAAAATCAAGGAGGGCTACTATGAGTTTGAGTCTCCGTTCTGGGATGACATTTCTGAGTCAGGTAAGACCAGCCAGTGTGAAGGACAAAATAACAGGCTCAAGGCTGAGGCTGCCAAGAGACAAGAGCTTAACAAAGGATGCCGGTCCTGGCTCTTGACAGTCCCTAGGGAATCTAACAGAACAGGATCCAAGGAAAGTGGAGAAATCTTCATCTGGGTCAAAGGCCAAGTAAGTGATTTGCATCTCTGGTTAATGCTTTTGTTTTCCTTGAGGCAGAACCGCAGTATGTCTGGTAACAGTGGAGGAGGTGGTTCAGATGAGGGGCCAGGAGGGCAGAGCCAGGCACAAGGGAGTGTTCCAGTCAGGAGTGGCAAAACCAAGGCCAAGTTTTGCCTTTCACATATCAAGATCAGACATCTGCAATGTCTGTGTGTGGGAAGGTTATCAGTGTTTGTTGTTGGGTCCATTAAGTGGGGATCAGAGCTGGGATAAGCTAGCGTTCACACGTGTGCCCATGTGCGGTGCTGGCCCCTGACTGGTGCAAATGTGCACCCACATGGCATCAGGCACGTTGTTGGTGCCTCGTGCCCAGAGATGTATCTCCAGTGTTGGGCGGGTGACACGGCTGCATAGAGCCTTTCTGGTGCTGTGTGGTGGGTTGTTGTTAGGTGGTTTGGTTTTTTCTCTCTTTCAAGACTCTTAAAATTGCCTCTTTGGACGATGAGCTAAAGCTTTCAGTGCCACCCACCAGCCTGGAAGTGAATTTCCATCAGTCGTGAAATCTGGTCCTTATCTGTTGTATCTTTGATTGCTCCCCCTAGCCAAGGATTTTATTTGCCACTTGCTGGAGAAGGACCCAAATGAGCGGTACACCTGTGAGAAGGCCTTGAGGCACCCCTGGTGAGTGAGGAACGGGGGATGGGCTCTAGACCCTCACCTGTTGTTCCGCAAACACCATGCTGACTCGTTCACAGCGTGTTGCCCTGGAGTCCGCTTGCCCTAGCTGTTTACTGTGTGACATCCAAAGGGCACAGACCAGATCCAGCTAGAGAAGAAAACAGCATTTAAGTAAGTGGATTCTGACCCAATGGTGGCAGCTGGGTCATCTAGTCAAGTTCAGGAGGCAGATACAGCTAGACAGGTAACTTTGCCCTGTCCTTAAGAGCATCATTTTACTCTGGGATCAAAGTCTGTTCCATGCAAGGTGCGCTGAGAACAATCACAAAGCAACCAATTGGTAAAGCAGGTAAATAAAGTCTTGAAACACTTCTTTTTTCATGCTACACCCCTGCTGGAAAATTTACAAGCTCCCCAGTTGCCACCACAGCAAGCCTAGGTTTTCCCTAATCTGGCCTGACCCGTAACCTCCAACTTCATTTCTCAGGATTCCCAGCGTACCTTCTGGGAATAGCCTAATAGCTATATTGCTCTCCCTGCCCTCCCCTGCCTTCTAAACCAAGTTTTTCCCAAATTACACTTGGGTCGTACCATTCTCACCACGTCGAATGCCCTGCACTGGATGTAGCATTCTTCAGGCTCCAGAGCAGGTTTTCTCCTTCTCTAAAGCCCTGTCTCCTGCAATCTGGACAGACCTCCCGTCTTTCCTTATCCATTACACAGCTCACCATGAATTACTCTAGTTCATGGCATGAAACAAGGCTTCAAACCTACGCTGTAAGCCCCTAGCGATCAGGGCCACGTCTGTTACTTCTCTGGGTCCCTAAGTACCTAGAAAGTACTATGTACGTGGCAAGTGTCTGAGGGACACTTAGAGATGGATGAATAACAGGCTGAGGGGACAAGAAAAGGGCAGCCTGTATTGGGTGGCTTTACTGAGGAAGGTTTGCAGGCAAAGGTGGGTTCTGAGCAAACTTTTGAGCCAAACGATGGTGACAGCACAAACGCCCTCTGACATGGGGTGGGGGGATGGGGTCAGTAAACTTTTTCTCTATAAAGTGCCAGATAGGAAATATTTTAGGCTTTGCTGGCCATATCGTCTCCATGGCAACCACTCAATCTGCCCGTTGCAGCTCGGAAGCAGCATAGCCCATAGCTGAATGAACGGGCGCGTCTGTGTCCCAGCAAGATCTTATTTACAAAAGCAGGCAATGAGTAGATTTGGCCCACAGGCTATAGGTTGCCCACCCAGCTCTAAAGCAAGTTTCTAAATCATAGGCCCCCTATGGCCTGCCCGGCAGAAAGAGAAGCCCTGCCTCCAGCCCCTTCCTAGCTCCGGCTGCCCTTGTCCTGAGGCAGTCCACTCAGTTTACCCTGGACCTGCATGCCCAGCCCCCTGCCCAACCCCTGGCTGAGTCCCTGTAACCACCACTAGCCAGGGGTCCCCTCCACGTCCACAGGATTAACGGAAACACAGCTCTCCACCGGGACATCTACCCGTCAGTCAGCGTCCAGATCCAGAAGAACTTTGCCAAGAGCAAGTGGAGGGTGAGTTGTCCTCTCCAGGAGGCGGGCAGGCTGTCTAGGCCCTGGAGGCTGGGTTGGGGCAGCTGGGGGAGGGGCTTTCCTTGGGGTCTCCCGGCAGACCCTGGAGTTCCCTGAACCCTCTCTGAAATGAGAAGTGCACACATCAGTTTCAAGAGGTCCCAGGGCAAAGGGAAAGCTTAAGCCTCACGGCCCTCTGAGGATGGAGACGGCCAGACTGGTCTCGTATCTCCTCAGCAAGCCTTCAATGCAGCAGCCGTGGTACACCACATGAGGAAGCTGCACATGAACCTGCACAGCCCAGGTGTCCGCCCGGAGGTGGAGCACGGGCCACCCGTCACTCAAGCGTCTGAAGCCTCAAGACCCAGCTCCCCTGAGATCACCGTCACCGAGGCACCCGCCCTGGACCAGAGTGTGGCCCTCCCTGCCCTGACCCGGCGGCCCTGCCAGCATGGCCCCCAGCCCACCGCCCCTGGGGGCAGGTCCCTCAACTGCCTGATCCACGGCTCCCTCCGCATCAGCAGCAGCCTTGTGCCCATGCAGCAGGGGCCCCTAGCCGTTGGGCCTTGCGGTTGCTGCTCTAGCTGCCTGAGCGTCGGGACCAAAGGGAAGTCCTCGTACTGCTCTGAGCCCACGCTCCTCAAAAAGGCCAACAGAAAACAGTACGTATTTTCAGCCAAAGCCCAAGGCCTAGCCCTGCTCAGCCTGGGTCTGAAAGAACTCAGGCAATGGAGCTGAAAGAAATTGACCAAAGAGCCTCTCCCATTTGGGGGCAGCTCTGTAGGGTGGAAGAGCTCTGGATGCGGGGGGAGGAGGGGGGGGGGTCAAGGGAAATGCCTCCAGTCCTGTCCCCACCCCTCACCAGCTGTGTGGCCACTGTCTTTTCAATCCATATCTCTGTTTCTAGTTTGCTCATCTGTAAAATGGGTTGATTGGATCATACCTGCTCAGCCTGCCCCACAGAGGTACTGTCAAAGTTTAGTGAGGCAACAGGGATTATAAATGCCTGCAGAAAGCTGGGTAGATTTGAGTGGTGGGCGTTAGATTCCTTGAGTTTCCAAGGCCTCTGTGTTTTGGGGGGACATTGGGGGCTTGGTTATCTCATTCATCTTTTCTATAAAGGCTCGTACTTTCTGAACCTCATAAAGGGAGGGCTGAGTGGCAGCCACAGGCACAGAGAGTTATCCCGGCTCTCCTTCACTCCTCAAATACTCCATCATAGCCGGCCGCTCCATTTCCTTTCCAGGAACTTCAAATCGGAGGTCATGGTGCCAGTTAAAGCCAGCGGCAGCTCCCACTGCCGGGTGGGGCAGACTGGAGTCTGTCTCATTATGTGATCCCTGGGGCCTGTGTCTGTGTCACTACAATTTTCAGGTGAGGGAACTAGGGGGAGGAGGGCCAGGGCTGTGGGCTCAGGGGAAAATCGCAGTCACAGAGTCTCAGCGATGGGGTCCGAGGGGTACCAGAGGCGACAGCACCCCCCCACCCTGAACCCCCTTCTTCTGCAGGAGAGATAGCTATTCACCTCTTCTCTGCCTTTCCAAACCTGGAGTCTACACTGCAGCGGGAAGAAGGGAGAGCAAGCCGAGCAAGGCCTGATCAGAAGCAGCAGACAGCTGCCACCTGGGACAGACCCTCACAGAAGGCCCAGGAGTGAGTCCCCAAGCGTGGAGGCCTCACCGAGGCTGTGGGCGGGCGGAGCGGCACCCGAGGCTTCCAGGTCCCCCTGGCCTGCCTGCTCCGTGCCCCCAACCCTACGTGCCGTGGCTCTGCACAGTGTCCGTAGATAGCTCTCACCCAGGTCTGTGTCGTTTGTCGTGAAAAGCTTAATGGGCTGGCCAAGCTGCGTCACCATCTCCGAGCAAAGCCATATGGAGCATCTACCCAGACTCCCCGCTCAGCACACCCTGGATCTTGCCTCTCCAGCCTCCGTCCTTGTAGCCAGAATGGGCTCGTTAATGGAGTGGCCTGCGCATCTGCATGAATGACAGGCAGCTTCGTGGTCTGCTTGTGAGCTCTCCAAGTTTAAATCCTAACTCCAGGATTAGCTCCAAACCCGGCCAGCCTACGCCCAGCACTCTTCTGATCCACCTCTCTCCCTGCGCCACACCACCG